ACTTGTATTTTGTGGACTAAGTAAGTATTAGTATATCACCACAAATACATTATTATGAATCACATGACAATCAATCAAATAACTACAAAACCAAGTTCATAATACAAAATTCAACAACACAAGTTCAATAACTGCAAACTACAAGTCTATAATACAAAAATCTAACACAAGTTTTAAACACATGTCAGACGCTTGACATGTGTCTCCTTCAAACTTCTATATAAAGTGCATTAAACGCCTGGAGAAGGGACTTTTGGGACTTCACATGAGATTAGACTTAATCTCGGGAACGTCTGATCACATACTCAGTTATCCGAATCTATGTATCGTGACCGAGTACAACATACTTGTGTATTTGTCACATCAGTAGGTAACTTAATCTTGGTAAAATTAAGTGCACACAAGCCCAAAATTAATTTTATTTTTTGAGTTTAACTTTAAATTTTTATTATTTGATATAACAATTTAAACAAAATTATAATGAAATAGTTCTTTTAAAAATTAATTGTTGAATTTTGACTATTTTAAAAATAGAAAACATTTTTTTTTTAAGTATTGTTTGAATCAACAGTTCACCATTTTTGAACCAGAACTGAACCATGATCACACCTACTTACTTCCTTTTCCCCTTTTATATTTATTGTTTGCGTATGAATAGATCAAATTGAGCCTTTCGTATGGGCAAAAAAAAAAATCAATTTGGCTAGTATTTTGCCCCTTAATTGGGTTGACCCGATGCGAATAGAGATTAGTCTGAGTATGGTACGGATTTAAAGGTGTCTCTCACCGTTAGAGCCTTCTCAGGACACCTTGTGGTCTGACACAAAATATATATATATATATATATATATATATATATATATATATATATATATATATATATATAAAGTTTGCAATGTGTTATAATTTCAGTGTATCCTTGTATCAATCTTACATTCAGAATCATACAAAGGAGAAGACAAGAGAAGAAAAATTGCAGGAACTTCTCAGGGCCATCTTTCATTGATAATTGCCCTGTATCCAACCAAGGAAGTTAAGAGTAGTCATGTCTGTTAAACCATTGAATCACCGTGATTTACATCCTCCCAAATGTTCGGTCGGACGGGGTGTGGGCGGGCCTTAGTGTTGAGAATTCAACCTTTTTGGAGAGGAGAAGGAAGTTAAGGGTAGGATATATTTACAACACAATGAACATTAAGAGAGAAAATTTAGTAATTTTCAAATTCTTTTTTTAAAAAATCCTCATTATATAAGTGGTTTTTTTTTTTTTTTTTTTTTTTGTGAGGATGGAGAGAAACCTGTAATTATTATCTAAAGTTGTATACTGAATAAACTCCACTCAAGTGTTATAGCTGTCAAACCATACAAAGAAGTAAATTACACTAAAAAAATAATACTATGACCATATTTGGTAAATGACTGTTAGCTGTTAGCTGTTAGCTGATTGAGTTAATTAGAGGGTATAACTAGTTGATTGTAGAAAAATGTTTGATAAATTAGTTGTTAGCTGATAGTTATTTGATATAATTTCTTTCCTTAAAAAGTTAATTAAAAAGTTGCATTGGTTTGAGCAATTTTTTGAATTTTAGCATTTTGAAATTACAAAAAGCTAATTAATCAAACACATATTTGGAGTGAATGTGAGAGTTGAAATCCATTATTCCAAAAGGCTGAACCCCAACCAGACAGAGCATTTGGGAGGATGTAAATCATGGTGACTCAACCGAACATGAACCATAAAGGCTAGACCGGTGCGCACAAGGAGTCCCCCTCACTTTCAGAGGTTACTCTCGCACTGCCGCTGGTGAGACTCAATCCCTGGTCATTATTCCAAAATTTCACCTCTATGACCAGTTGAGCTACCCATGCGGGCTGAGAGTTGAAATCCATTGTGGTACATAAGGTGGTTAAGCCATTCCCATTTCCCACTGGATTTGACTAAGAATACGAGAGTTGAAGTGTTGAACGAACAGTTAGTTACGTCAACTCCTTCATCATAAGAATCAATTGCTTCATTTATTTTTCTTGAAAATGATTGCTGCATCCGCACAGTTCATTACACGTTCATTCCGCACTCTCTCAAATTCATATTCTCAACCCACTATTCTGCGCTCCATCGGATCATATATGCTAATACTATCCAATTGGCTCTACTTCAATCATCACATAACGAGCCTCCATTTTGATCTTAATCGGGACCACAAAAAAAAATCGACTATGATTCATTTCTTTTTTAAATTAAAGTTAGTGATATTAAGTTGAATCTGATTCTACTGGAACAAAAAAATTCTTTAAAAATCTCTTATAGGTTGCAGGACCAAAGGTTATAGGACAACAAATTTGAAACTTCGTTGAGGTTATAAGACAGTTGTACTGCCCTGATAATTTAGGTACAATGGGCTTGCACACGATTCCCAATCCCTAGGATCAAATACGGTCGTTAAATAGGTCGGTTTTGCCACCACTTCACCAACCAGGCAGCCATCATATTAACACACCAACACATATCGTGATTGATCTGAGTGACCATTTGAAGAATTTGGACCATATTATGCTATCAATGATACATGGGCCTATTTGACACTTCTTCCTAAATATTAATTTAAATTTCTCCTAAAGATGTTTGTTTACGGTTCTATTTAATCTAAAACCATAATTATTCAGATTTGGTATTGCATTGTTCATTTAATATTATTAATTTTTTTTCAATACTTTCAATTTAAATAATTCAATATCACAATGTATAGCACTTACACAATCTGTATCTTTTCACGTTCAAATTGGTACTGAGTTGGATCTTAGAGCATCACCATGAGCAGTTTTTATTTGATTTTTAGGAGTTTTGTCATGTGAAAGAGAGAAGGCATGAGAGAGAAGGTCCAGGTCTCCTTACAAGTACACGATTTTTTTGTGACCCACCGAAGAAAGAAACACCAAAACTAAGTGCAAAGGGGCACGTCTGCGGCATAGGCAACGTCCAGTTGGTGCACGCGCCAAAGGGCGCGTTAACTGCCTAGCCTTTTTTTTTTTTTTTTTTTAATGTTTGTGTGTCAGATTCCTTTTTCTTTCTTACCTTTTTCTTTTTCTTCCCTTTTTTTTCCCTCCCTCTCATCTCTAATCTCTTAATTGAATTATCAAAAAGTCGTGAAAAAACTAAAGCTGATGAGGTTGCTCTTATTGATTTGAGCAGGTCAATTATGAATAATTTAGACTGATTTATTTTTATTTGCTGGTTAGAATCGCAAAGTCAGCTTTTTCTAGTAAATCAAAAAGTTGGATTAAATATATATCAGAAAAATATGGATTACAAGTTTACAACAAAAGTGAAAAAAAAACATAGGAGGACACCAAATTAAAACTCGACAAGAATAATGAAACCAACAACAGTGTAATGCTCAAAACTCCCAAAGATAATTTCATTAAAGATTTTGGAGTAGTGAAATGATGAGACAATCATATGTCATCTCATCGAATGTAAGAGAAGCTATTCCTCAGGCATTAGCTTGCACTCCTTTACTTAGTGCTTTTCTTACCCCATCCCACCACCATCATTCTCTCTCCCCATTGGTCTTCCCATGGAATATGTGCCTTCCACAAGGAGGGAACATCATCACAACAATAAAACAATCATTCTCCACACGAAACTTTTACGGTGTTGATTACCTATGACTGATATTTTTTGTGCCGAATATAATTCCGTATGTTTTTTTTAGTTGTACTGAGTGCTATTAACTCTTATTTTCACAATACCCCGTAGCCAGTATAATAAGACATATTATGACTGATTGTACTCAGTACAAAAAGACACACATATATATGGGATTTCAATGGTGCGGATCTGGATTTGTACTTTTGCTACCAAGTACAATTAGATATTATGTTTTTTTTTTTAGTTGTATTAAGTACTGTCAACTCTTATCTCCATATAAGACATATCATGTTTAGTTGTACTCAACACAAAAGGTATTGGTGTTGATCGGTAGTATAGAAATATTTGCAAGAGAAGGGCTAAGTTGGGCCCTAACATCTTTCAATACATTTTTGACTTGATTATGCAATTTATATTTTATAATCGTATTAGAAAGCATTGTATTAGGTACTGTCAACTCTTATTTCCATATAAGACATATCACGTTTAGTTGTACTCAACACAAAAGATATTAGTGTTGATCGGCACTATAGAAATATTTGCAAGAGAGGGACTAAGTTGGGCCCTAACATCTTTCAATGCATTTTTGACTTGATTATGCGATTTAGGACCATATTTGCCAGCATTGAAAGGATCATTAGATATTGGGAATATTATGAACTCTGCATTTAAGGTATTTTTGGAGATTTTAAGGGTAAATACAAGGGAGGAGGTATATGACAGCTTGAAAATTTAAGCTTTTAAGTATATCTTTATGATGGATAAAGTGTTGAAATACTATAGTTGATTGGACATATAGATCCTCTATAGAGGAAACGTTCGCACACGCATATATACAATGTTGAAAAAGACGCTAGGCGTTCGATATTTTATTTTTTAAGAGATTATTCGCCAAAAAAAAAAAAAAAAAAAAAAAAAAAAAAAAACGGGGTTCAACCGCCTAAACGTCCGACTGCGGAAGAGGCCGATTTCGGCGTTTCTAGGCGTGATTTTTGCAACCATGCATATATATATATATATATATATATATATATATATATATATATATATATATATATAAAAGCAGGCAAGTCCCAAAAGGAATAGTTGACTGGCTAGAAGCTTGGAACATACATATATATAGATAATATAGAGTCAGGCGAGACTGGTTGAAACATGACTCTCATACTTAAAAAACTAATTCAATTCTTGACAACATCCTATTAATCGTGTCCGTCACATAAGTGCAATTTACCTTTGGTGTGTGGTAGGCTACTTTACTTTTGGCCAATCATGCAATGAAAACTATAAGGACAATTTGGTAAATGAAGCAAAAACACAAGTTGTAACAAGGAAATAGGAATGCAAGTTCTATAAAACCAAAGTCATATTTTCATCATCATGAGAACAAACATTCTTACAACCAAAAACCCAAATTTTTAACACTGAGCTCTCTAACCCTAAACCATAGAATTCACATTTTACCTTTCAAACATCTCGAAGAAAGGCGTAGGCCTATCCCTTTGAACCATATATCTTCGGCTCCCTCCCTCCCTACCTCAAAGCCTAAACTAGCAAAATATGTACAAGACAATTGAAGCCGTTAAGAAACAAAGACCATAAACCTCTTGTCATATCTTGCCCGAGACTCCCCCCCACTAGCGCATTTATGTGTTTGCCGACTGCGATGGCACCCTAGGATGGTTATGGTCTCCCTCATAAGTGACAATTAACATTGACGGGTCTTCCAAGCATCTCTCCACGTGCTTCCTCGCAGGGCAGCCTCTCATGCTACTACATTTATAGTATCCCCTGCACGAACACAATAAATATTAGCCCCCGTGGATTTAATATGCTGCAAGTACAAAGCCCATTAATGCTTTTCTCGAGTGACAAGTTATAAAATCAATCCAAGGCAGAGCATGAACATCGATGCTCTTCACTCTTCAACTTGCAACTAAGGATGCAATCAAGTAATCGAACAATCAAACTTGCATCCCGAATTCATTTTTTAATAAGTAAAAAGTCACTACTTTCTAATTATATATCGTTTTTTGGGTATACCCAGGGTTTTCACTATCGGATACAGTGACTAATCCCCTGGATTGTAGGCACCTCTTTTGGGTGAGACAGCTGGCCTGTTTCTAATTATATATCATGGTTAAGAACTTCAGATGCATATATATATATATATATACACACACATATATAGCAATACCTTGGGTGAGGAGAACCCTTGATTGGCTTCTGCCCGTACTTTCTCCAAGAATATTCGTCTTGAGGGATATCAGCTAGCTTGTTACTGATAGCGGGAACTTTAATTGACCTTTTCACCCGATGTTTCCTGTCCCAAAAGTAATTCAAGTTTTGAGTAATCTGAAATAGGAAAACAAAGAACGGAAGAAACACCGTATATACAGGCTAAAAACGAGCCCAGACCTCTTCTTGGAGCAGTGGCATCTACTGCTGCTTCCACATTTCGTGCTTCCATCCTCTCCCCGTCCAGAACACCTTTTCTTGTGCTGATACGAGCTCAGATCAGCGGAACGAGAGGCACCGATTAAATGGAAGGCATTCCCGTCCATATTTGCAACGCTCCCATCAATACTCAGAGAGGAGATGAACGAGCGAGTGGAGGACATGGTAGGGGTGCAAGTGGAGCTATCGAAATTGAGACTAATGCCACTATTGCTACGACGATAAATCATCTCCGCCTGCTGCTGTTTCAACTGCTGCTGATACCTCTGCTGATGCTGTTGTTGTTGAAGGAAGTGATAGCTTGGGATCGGAGTTTGATGGGATAGCGAAACCGGGGTTTTGCCATGTAAGTTTAACTCGAACGAAGGGGGGTTCCCCAATGCAAGACCACTCTTAACACCAGAACCCTTTTCCTGGTTTGAGGGCTCAAGAGAAATGGCAGGGAGAAGCTGCAAGGCTTTGGGGTGATCATCATCCCCTCTGAACATTGGGTTCTCCAAAAGAATGCTTGGAGGGAGAGAGGGGGTATGGATTTTCTTGACCTTTCTCACCCTTGCATGGCCCAAAGTGGAATTGAGCTTAGAAACAACCTTCTTGAACTTATGAACAGCCTCCCCAGTTTCTATGGCTAATTTGGCATACTGGTTTTGATCATGAGGCTGAGACAACAGACTAATAACCCTATGGCAACTCTCCACAGCTGCCCTGTTAGCTTCTTCAATCTCCTCCATCTCCACCCCAAATTACAAACAACTCACAAAAAGCCCTAATTCCTAAAATCTAAGACAGTCAGCACAAAAAACATTGTCAGCTCCACAAATCCATCCATGAAAACATCAACAAAACAGTAACAGGCAAGAGAAACCAAAACCCATTCTCAACAAAACAATCCCCTCTTCTTTTCTCCACACAAATTCAAGATTCAACTCAGCCAAACAAACAAAAAAGAAAAAAGAAAAAAGAGCACCTTTGAAACAGCACAGCAGGTTAAAGTTCAGATTCAGAAGGGTATGCAGAAAACAAGGAAAAAAGCTTTTTAAAAAACGAAGAACCCAGAGAAGAATCAATGGCTAAAGAGAAGATAACGGGCGAAGAGAAGACCTTTGGTTGGAACTCTGGGTGTGCCGTGAAACCCTAGATTCTTCAACCTCCATAAAAACTTGTGATGGGAGAGAAGGAAGGTGTGAAAGAGAAGACTTTGCTTCACTGGAGCAGCATTCACACACCCGAAAGAATACAAAGCTGCAATCTTTTTAATATGTTTATTATTTTCTATCGTTATATATTATTCTTCCACCATTGTTGTCTTTTTTTCTAGAGAGAGATAGGATACCAAGTAGAGAGAGAGACCACACTGGTGAACTACTAGTACTCCAATTCTCACAGAGAGAAAAACAAACAAACAAAAAATATTTGTTTATTTATTTATCAATTATTTATAATTTATTTATTTATATATTAACTATTACAGCTTATGCCAGACTAATCATAAATTGTCAGAATCATTGTTCAATAGCCACTTGAAAAAGTAAATCGTGAGTCGGTCAAGGCTTCTCGTGACTCTCAAACTTTTAGGGTAACGGTGGAATTAATTGAATTAGCCAGCAATGTTATTATTTATTTAAGGGGTAGTCAAATACACTTTGAACTTTTAAAATTTATAATTAACTACATCAACATATCAATTTAGTGCATCGAAGCTCAAAAATCAGTTAGTAACATGTGATAACATGTCACTAGAGTTCAGGTGATGCTCATACGATGTTCCGACTACTTTCGGTGAGAAATCGACGACTAACGAAGTCACTGAAACTGGAGACCAGTTGATTGTCTCCTATAATCAACTTCTCCCCGGGCCAGCTGGTTGCAAAGAAGACGATCGACTACTAATTTTTTTTTTTTGAAATAGTCAAAACATCATCAGAATCTTAGTCATTCATCAATTTTAGACTTCAATATATATTAATTTAAAATAAATGTTGATGTGTTTAATTATAACATTAAAAATGTGAGGATATAACTAACTTGTTGTATAAAATTTATGAGTATTTTTCACCCTTTTTGTTTTATTTAATTATTGCTTGGTTGGAAAATAAGACTTTGGGTAACGGAGAGAGAAGAAAAGAAAAGAAACTGAGAAGGGAAACTGCCGTCTCTGTCGCAGATTTCAAAAGGTGGGACCCATTTTGGACTTTGGTATTCCTTTCTTCTTTTTATGTATGTATTTTTATTTATTTTTTGTTGTTTGATGTAATTAATGTTTTTTCTTTTAATTGGTTCTTGATTAGTGGGATTAATCAAAGATTAATGAAATTTTTACCCAAATAAAGACCCTGCTTTTTGCGAAATCCAATGTAGGTTGTCTTGTCCTGTCCCTTATCAGAGCATCTTTGGCTCCATGATTTGTGAACTTCACTTCTTTACTGTTTTGACTCTCATCTTTAATTATATGAAACCATGTTGCACAATCCATTTCATTGTGGTTTTCCTTTTATAATAATGTATTGGGCAAACAAAAATATATTATTTTTATAGTACTTTACAACAATATATGGATCATCATAAGTTTGATTCTTGTTAAAATCATCTCAGTCCTACTCGTGGCACAATTTTTTTTAGTGTAATTTATTTCTTCTGTCTAGTTTATATAGTGACTGTAGATTTTCATCGTCACTCCAAAACAAAAATAAAAAATAAAAAATTATAGTATATATTTTAGAGAAAATTATATTTTTAATCTGTTGATTGTGATTATGGTGTAAATTCAATCATTCATTATTCACACACACAAATTTTTTAATTTTTAATGATGTAGTATATATATGCTATTTGATTAAAAGCCCTAATGATGCTATCACAATTGAATGATTAGAAGTACTCTCTTTCATATATTTTATCATAAAAGTTATTAGTTGCAAAACACCTTGTAGTCAAGTGACATAACTGTGATTGGTTCAAACCCCATAGAGGCATTGACTCTTTGTGCGTCAGTAGCTGAGTCAGTCGTATTTTTATTGTTTCTATATGCAAAATGCATGTGCTCATTAAACGCGATAAAGTGACTGACAGTGTCCACAGTCCACCTACTGTTCGTTATTTTTATTGTTTCTACATGCAATATGCATGTGCTCGCTAAACACGGTAAAGTGACTGACAGTATCCACCTACTATCCGTTATTTTATTATTTCTTTTATTTGTTTCTACATGTGCCCAGTAAACAGTTAAACACGGTAAAGTGATAGATAACACATGTTCTCGCTAAACACAGTAAAGTGACTGACAGTGTCCACCTACTGTCGGTTATTTTTATTGTTTCTTTTATTTGTTTCTGCATGTGCCCAGTAAACACGGTAAAGTGATAGATAACGTCAACCTACTATCTGTTACTTTACCGTTACTTTTATTTGTTTTAATAATATATAATAAAGATAATTTTATTTAAATTATAAATTAATGTAAAATAATTATAATTTATTTAATTTAAAATATGATTAATAAATAAAAAATAGAGTTAATACCCAAAATGGTCCATCGACTATGCCATAATTACCAATTTGGTCCTCAACTACCATTCTTACCTAATTAAGTCCTCAACTATGTAACTTTTACTCAATTAAGTCCTCAACTATACAATTCTTACCCAATTTAGTCCTCAACTATACAATTCTTACCCAATCTAGTCCTCTGTATTAATTTGACTGTTTGTTGACTATCAAAAGTCGGGATAAAATTATAATTTTACAAGATTTCTCCTTCCTCTCCATTTAGCAGCGCCAAACCATGCAGCAATACACTCCGATCATATTTCAATCGTCAAAAAATCATTGGAAATCAAATTCATGGGCTATCCGATGCATAACCACTACTTCGATACTGACAGGTTTAGAACCCAACCGGAGCTTATTGCTACATGGTTTGGCGCTGCTAAATGAGGAGGAAGGAGAAAACTTGTAAAATTACAACTTTATTTCCACTTTTGACAGTCAACAAACAGTCAAATTGACAAAGGACTAAATTGGGTAAAAATTGTATAGTTGAGGACTTAATTGGGTAAGAATGATAGTCGATGACCAAATTGATAATTACGACATAGTTGAGGGACTATTTTGGATATTAACTCTAAAAAATATTAAAAATGGTTAATAATAGCGAGTTTACAAATATTCTTGTGCAATAGCAAAACAACATATTAAAAATAGATTGATATTAAGTGATGATGCGGAATGAAAATATTTGTACCACATTATAGATGCCCTAATATCTTGAAAGAGTAAATCAAATATTTTCCATACATAGTACAATCATGATATGGTGATATATGGTATGATAACATTTTTCATAGTTTGACAAGACATTTCTTGCTAAATTCTTGCCTTTTTTATTTGGTAAAAAGTTACCTTTTATGTTTTAGCCATGCTTGGTAATTTGGGTTATGAGGATTTGCATTCTTCAAGTGTAAAGTTAAAAATATTGTTGAGTGGAGGTGAAAAATTGAAACATGATAAAAAAAAATATTCATGACAAATTTAAAACATTATTAATTGAATAACGGTTCAAACAGAAAATATACTATAAGCATGGTTGCAATAAGCGCTAATCGGGCGGTAGAGTAGCGCCTAGCGCCTAGACGACCTAGGCGGAGCCTAAGCGGCCTAGGCGGCTAACTAAAAAAAAAAAAAAGAAAAACAGTGCACATCTGTAGGTGCATATATGTCATATTTTATATATATATATATATATATATATATATATATATATATATATATATATATATATATATATATATATATATATATATATATATATATATATATATAAATGAAAAAAATTAGCAAGGTCGAGTTGGCCGGGTTAACTCGACTAACTAGACAGAAATGGACGAGTTAACTCGGCGTAATCGGCCGAGTTAGGCGCTAGGCGAGCGCCTAGAGTGGAAATCGCCACGGCCTAGGGGCGCCTAGCACCTAGGGGCCGATTAATCGGTGCCTTGGCGGGATTTTTGCAACACTGACTATAAGTCAAAATATATACAATTATACATTATAAATCACACAACATTTACATCGTTGATATAATATTCTTAAATACTTTTTATTTTTTAATTTGATCAGCTTCAAGTTCTGCTTAGATTAATTTGAATACGATGATACACATTTAATTTTGTTGGGTAGACTGTTTTGAATGAAGAATTAGTCTTTTCCGGTAAGATGTGAATAACTGAATACCGGTACAATATGAGAAAAAAAAATCATGATTTACAATATAAACTAGCCCGCTTTTATGTACTGTCTATGTAATAGGCTCAATTAAAAAAAGTATTGATAAAAATCAAACTCATAACACTCTGATATAATAATATGTTCTAACCACGGTCATTTTTGGGGTTACAACATAAACTTTAGACTTTATGTTGACTAATCCAAAAAGAAAATTGGATGTATAAAAAGCATGAGGGGTTGTTTGGACTAATCCCTTGTTTGGTAGTGAGGGATATGCTTGTGATTACATTGGGTGGACATTTAATATTAATATTTGGGTTATTGGGGATTGCAATTTTATTAATTTAATTGAATACGGAGTAATTAATTTGACCATTTTATCGTTAATCTATGGTGCTTACACCATTTTATCATTCATTAAACGTAAGAGCATCCTCAATATATAAGTTTTTAGCATAAAGTTTTTAGGTACCAAATAAGGGAGAGGAGAGAGAAAAATGTGTGAAAAAAGAATAAAGAAAAAAATAAAAAATAAAATTGAAAAAACTCTAGTCACAAATTTCATTATCTCTCTTGGTGGAACCACATTTATGACAAAATTCTCATTCTTGCAGGAGGCACTCACCCATCTCTCTCCTCTCTCCTCTACATACCCATTTTTTTCTTAATTCTTGTGTAAAATCCCCTTGTTGGGGATGCTCTAATGAAAAGAAAAAAGTTACGAGGTCGTTTACTAACTTGGAAAAATGGAGAATTTTTCAAAAAATGGAGAAATTGAGAAGTGGAAAAAATAAAAATTGGAGAAGTTGTTTACCATATATCTTCTTCCAAATGCTTACTCCATCTCCATTTTCCAATTTCATGTATATTTTTGGAGAAAGAAAATTTGGACTTCTCCAAATGGAGAGATGGAGAAAATGCGCGTGAACAGTAACCTGTCCAAGAGGTCGCGGGTTTGAATTTAAATTGTTGCTTTGCACGTCAGTTATGCTCTGCCTTTGCTTCATTATTATTATTATTATTATTATTATTATTTAATTTTCCCCTTTCTTCATCCTTATGCACACATAATAATAATAATAATAATAATAATAATAATAATAATAATAATAATAATAATAATAATAATAATAATAATAATAATAATAATATTATTATTATTATTATTATTATTATTATTATTATTATTATTATTATTATTATCATCTTTGTTGTAGAAATGTAAAAATGCTATACGGAATGATTGTATTTAATAATAATCATAAAATTAGAGAAATGAAGAATTAGAGGAATGGGGAATGAAAATTGAAAAATTGGAGAAATGGAAAACCGGAAGAATGGAGAAAGAAAACTGGAAAAATGGAAAAATGGAAAATTGGAAATGGAAAAACAGATAAACGAAGTAAACGACCCCTACATCTTTTAACAATTACGGAGTAATTATTTATTGTCATGTCAAAGAGGGAATAATATGCTTGTAGCTAAATGTATTTGGTGTGATTAGGAAAGAGAAGATGAGAGGGATGAAAAGAAAAAAAAAAATTAAACTCTGAAAAAATAATAAATAAATAAAAATTTACGCGTCCAGTTGAGCGCGAGAGTTTCGCCTCCTCATGCGAGGCAGAATGGTAGGTGTGGTTGAACTTTGATTTTTTTTTAAGGCGAATAACCCCTAAAAAAAATTAAAAAACAAACGGACGCTTATCATCTTTTTCAACACTAGTATTAAGAGGTTTGAATTCGCCTCAACTCATTACTCGAATTATTCGACCTCGAGTTCATATTAATAGTAACCGAATCAAGTTCAAACATTTATCGAATCGAATCCGAATAGTTTAACTCATTGACACCTGTAAATACCAGTGTCTCTTGTCCGGAGTAGAAACTCATATAGTCATATGTGCACCAAAAGGCTATACAATGTCTCATTATCATGTTGCATGGGATGATGAGTCCAAACTCTTCTATCTTGAAGAGGTCAAAGTAAAACTGGAGTTTTTGGTGGGTTTCAAAATATGTTGGCTTTCACCACCTTGTAACATACGTTTAGATTGAAGAAGGCAATGTCTGCATGTCATAGTCTTTGACTCAAATAGTATCATTTTGAAGTTTTAATTTAAGTAATCTTATTCAGGATGGATGGCCTGGATTCAATGATATGTCATAAGATCATTGACCACTAGTCATATAACCAATTTGCTAAATAATGCCCACTGCGGGCATTGTGTTATATAGTCAAAAATGTTTTACTTTTGTTTGAAATGTTGGGGTTATTGTTAGACTTTAGTTTATATATTATTGAGTGAGCAAAGGGTCTAATAATGATGAAAGTTAGGTTATTCGCATTTTTATAAAGGGTTGCGGTTTTGTCACGCAAGATTTTGTTTTTTTTGTTTTTTTTTTTTATAAACTAGTTGTATTGCACTCTTGCAATACATACGGATGTCATCAAGCCTCACTCTTCAAATGACAGGGCGGTGCCTCTTTTTAAAAAAAAAAAAAATTTATTATTTTGAATTGTAATGACAGGGAAAACTTATGAATAAACTAAACTAACAAAAAATTATATGTCTCTAGCAGCAATCCTTCAAAGTTTAGGAGTGCCGAATCGATCTTCAAACTAAAGCTTCTTTAGATCAGAACATGAAAATGAATTTGAATTGTACAAATATAGAAAAAAATGTGGTGAATTGATTATATGATAGTATAATCTATTTTTAAAATGAGAAAATATTTTAGAAATGTAAATAGTTTTAGTTTCTATTTCGGTAGGATTATCGATGTTACATAAGAATGAAAAGTGTGTCTTTAATTTGTCTAAGTAAAACTAGTCGGAATACTTTGCAACATCAGTACAACTTCTTAAATTTAAAAAAATTTACATTTAACATATAATAATATGCCACATTCAAGTTCCTTTGCTGTGGGCACATTCCTACTAGACTTGGTCCAAACCCCTTTTTTTGTTCCTTTTGTTTTTTAAGAGAACATATTCTTCATATATTATAGCATAGTTGAATCTAGTGGACATGTGTTAACAATGAACAAATTAAATGGACATCCCTTTTTCTTTGTGGTGCTTTCAAGATTGTGAAAAAAAAAAAAAAATCTTCTATAATATTTTACACATTTAATAAAATTATATATAAATATAATTAATTAATTTAGTGTACCAATAATATCTAATACAATTATATATAATATTTTTTTTATTATATTTGATACTATTAACACTAATATCAATAGTACTGATACAATTAAGTATATCATATGTAAGTGTACCCAGTAATATTAGCATTATTGTCAATTGACACAAAATAAACAATATAATCATAAGTTACCAAAATATCATATATAATGTACCAGATATTATTAACTAATTGACACAAAATAAAAGATATATATATATATATATATATATATAAAAGTTAACAAAATATCATACATGTTATTGTCAATACCCTCTTGGTTGAGCTCATTGCATAGGGTCTTCATAGTGCTATTTACCTTTCATTTGTGATTTTCATATCAGACTATTACGTAGAAGTAAAATTTATTTCATTCACACTCGATTGCGTATTTTCCTTTATTGTTGTTGATACACACAAATCAAAAGATATATCTATAAGTTAGCAAATTAAAAAGTTGTGAATTATGAAATCATTAAAGGCAGCTTTAATTTGGGGTAGCTAAGATAGATAATGCAGTGTGAATTAAGTAGTGTAGAAATATGATATGAAGAGTCATTTGTTTAATGATTGGGAGCAAGAAAAGAGGGAATTTCACATACTTTAATGAGGCTGGAGGCATATTGATTCAAACACTTTACCTTTGTATTGTTTTTTGGCTAAAAAGCATAAAAAAGCAACCTAGTGCCTTGGGATCCCAAGAGACAGAATATTGCTGCTCAAATGAATACAGTGCCCATAAAAGGGGAGATTATTGCTCCTTATGATATTTTTTTTTGGAGGATAAGAGAAATCTTATTACAATTTGAGAGTATATATTGGATAAATTTAATTTTAGTGTTCGAACTAGTGGTTACATTACATGATCCTTATTTTTTTGGTCTGCTCATTTTGGACAATCCACTAAAGGGTCTTAGAGTAACCTCAATAGCTCTTGATTTTTCGCGATTTTTGAAATCCCAATTAGAAAAGAGAGAGGAGAGCAACAAAAAAGGGAGAAAAAGAGAGAAAAAGAAACTGAAAAAGAGCATAAATATACGCCCAATAGGCTGGGTGCGCTTCTTGCGCTCCACGCGCAGATTCCATCCGTTGTTTTTCCTGTTCTCTCATCTGGCAGACCCCACAAAAAATCAAAAATAGCCGGAGAAAAAATCAACAAAAGAAAAAAAAAAACACTCCAAATTTATTAAAAATCAAACCTCTAGTTTTTTATTGTTTCAAAAACTATGAAAAAATCTTATTGGGGATGCTCTTAGGAGTCTACTAGTTGCATATGCAGGAGTTGTCTGACCCAGATTTTTGTAAATTTTTTATTTTATTTTGATTCTTTTCAAATCAAAATGACTAAACACTCACAAATATGTGAATTATGCACTCACGACATAACTTTTTACTTTTAGTGAGATTTAAAAATCATGTTGCCTCCGATCTATGACTAGCTTAGTTAAAGTTATTTAGCATACTCCAATGAAATCTTGATTCCTCCCATCTTTTTGAGAAAGCAAAAACACAAAAGAGAAGAAACAAGGAAAAGGAGAAGACTATGATGATGCTGGGAATTTTGTTTTGCCATTTTAAATGTCAAGCTACCATTAAAAAGGGCACCAGTTGATGAGTTAAGTTTGATTCTAGGTTGAAACTTTGCTTTTTGTTCTTTAAGGTTTGGATTTCCATATGATAAGATGCTGTTTTGTGACTTTGTGTGAAGTAGTTTGATCTCTCTCTCAAATTATTTCTTAACTAACCTACACTTTTTTCCATGTTTGGTTGGAGATAAAACTTGCATACACTGTTACACCAATCAATACACTAATTCAAAATTTCAACAAATCCCCAATAATTATCTACCTTCTTAAACCCCACATTAACAACCCTCTTTCCCAAAAGATTATAACATTAGGTAGCATGAAAACACTTATGAAACGCAAAAAAAGTTCTCTGAAGAGTTTTATACAATTTCTACTAGTTTTTCGGAAAAAATGTTTTTTAAAACATGAAAACGTTCCCCCTTGGGAGGTTTTGCCCACCGTAGTTGTAATCTTCACTAACTTAAATTCTACTTCAATGCCAAAGTTCAATCACAAAACCAAACATAGGGAGTGCAGTCTTGGCCTGAAAATCTTTCCCAAATTCATAATAGGAATACCATATGATTCTCAAACTCAGTATATAGAGATCACATCACAAGGGAAAACCAATTGGGTCTTAGGATCTTTACCCAAGACAGACAAGGCAGGCAATTGTTATATCATGGACCAGGATTCACAATGGTGAATCCTAATACAAAAATTATGTACTTTTAGTTAACACATTATGTACCTACAGGCTACAGTTAACCATTTCTGTACATGTAAATAAATAACTTGATAATTGCTGACACATAATATGATAGCTACAGGTACAGAAACTATCAACTACATCTATAAAATGTGTCAACTATAGATACAGAATCTAACTTGATAATTGCTGACACATAATATGATAGCTACAAGTACAGAAACTATCAATTGCAGTCTGCAGGTACAAAATGTGTCAACTATAAATACAGAATATGAAGGTTATTTTTGGATCAAGGTCTACAATGCAAGATAGACCCTGATTTGCCCAAGGCAGGCACAATAAGGGTGACTGCTAGTACTAGCAGGCATGAGGAATCCCACTTTTCAGCTTTCATAAGAAGCAGTACCCTCACAATGCTCATTTGAGAGGGGGATATGACTTTTCAAATTTCAAAAGAAAAAAAAGAAAAAAAAAAAAAGACTGCTCCATTATTGTGGTCACTCATGGAATTGCACTATGCAGAAATGAACAGAAGTGTGCAAATCCAAGATAAAATTTTTGAAACACAACCTACCAGCTTTAACTTGCATGTTGCTTTGGTGCTTTGACAGTACAGAATTGAAATTCATCCTTTTAGCAACAGTAATTCCAATCATGCAGGCATGCCCTTTGATTGATTAGTACGCAAAGAAGGTAAACGAGATGTACATCGAAGTTAGCAAAGCAAAAAGACAAACGCTGCATGCAACCATAACCAAACTACAAACGTCTTTTCAGGCGTTTTGTCCTTGTTGGAGAGAGACTTTATTGTTTCCGCCCCCTCCCTTTCTTGGCTGGCAGTGACCCAATCTGCTCTTTTCCACCAACTTCTGAAATATCCGCTGCAAAGAGGAAACAGGTAAATCACTAAATCATCATCATCATGGTAGAGAGAACTAATGCACGTTCATTAGCATAGAACTCGTAAAAAGAGTAAAAAGTTATACCATCAGCTCCACGAGACATCAGGGTGAAGAATATATTGTTAAACTTCTCCATTTTCTTGGCATCTTGAGCTTGGTCTGTCTTGAACTTTATACACTATAATGACAAAATTCAAAAATAAAAAAGAAGAAATCATGAAAGACTGAATGACTTAGCATCTAAAAATAGCAATTGAAAGGCACATATTATGATATCAAAATGGCGCAGAAAAAGAACCACACATGGCTTCAATTCCTTTAGGAAAAAAAAAAAAAGAAATTGGAAAAACAGGAAGCAAATGGTGTAAGTAGTATCTGGAAAGAGATTATTGGGCAAACTGTTTGTGTACCTTCATCAGAAAAAGAAATACCAATTTCAAGGTTCATCCAGTACTGTTGCCATTGCTTTATCCAACATTAGATTGTTACAATCTTTTCACATAGCTTTAGTCTTGCAATCAGATTGTTAAGGTTTGACTACTTTTATCATGCATTTGAGGATATGTAAACCAAATATCTATATCCCACTCTGTTTGTTTCATACACATGGAGTTGGTAGTAAGCTGTTAATATTAAATGAAGAAAAAAAAAAAAGACAAATATGGTTCTAAGGCAAGCAAATTTAGAAAACCACCAAGATCGCTCTGTGTTAGACCTCACTCCTAATCAACACTTCCAGTGAAGGTCATGGTGACTCTTAATCTGATGTCTTGGCAAACATATGCTTTTACTAAATTCCCTCACGGGAATTCTTGCTTGCCTCTACAAGGACCTACTTTGTGCCAGGTTCAACTAAACACATTGAATTCAGCTTACAGATTCATATTAACTGTTCCCAAGTACCTTGTGGTCTGATGGCATAACTATTACCATTCCAAACGGAAGGTCTCAGGTTCGAGTCTTATTCCAATCAAGGGTGTTGACATTATCATGTTGAGCAAATACTATGAATAGGTTAGATTGTAGTACTCAAAACAAAACCAAAAAAATAAAAAATAAAAATCATATTAACTGTTCATAGAGCATAATGTTGGCAAGTGGTAACACTTCATTTCTGTCCAAACCATGTCCCTTGTTTGTAGGGAGTAGCACATTCGGCTTCAAGTAGATGACATGATATATCTAGTAATGCTTTTAATGAGTGCAGTCAGTGCACTGAAGTTTTGGTCAACTTGGCAATGCCTAAACTGTACAGCCAACTTGGTGATTTTTTTCCACACCAACAAATATGCAGTGCAGACACAGTGCAAGGCCAACATAATCCTCAATGATAGACTGTCAAAAAGTACGAATAATTCTTCAAAAAGAACAATTTTTATTTTTTAATCAAGAAAATCAGCTCCCCCAACCCAATCACAAGCTATCAACAAGCATTGCACCTTGCCACAAGCACTCGAAGAACTCATATATGTTGCCACAAAATTACAGCATGCCAATGAATACATTATTAAAAACATCATTATAGATAGTACCAATAAAGAAAACAAATGGCCTCATTCTTAAGATCTCTGGTATGCATCAAAACAACTGAGTGAGCACACTATGAAAAACTGAAACTGTGTTGCCAACATCATAATTTGCTGTCCCAAAAACCAATCAGGCATTCAAATACCAAATTTGATGCAATAATAACCAGGAGAACAGACAAAATCCTACTTAGATACAAGGGACAGGCCATGTCTAAATACGAGTCTGCAATTTCATGTTTATGCAGTTTATAAACAAAAATAAATAATTAAAATGTTGCAAATTATGAATTGAAATATACCTACCTCTTTATTATCAGTAACTTTGAGAACCAGTTTACCATCGGAATGCCTGTATTTCATAACATACCGCGTCTGCACCAAATTTTAAATTCAGAACGAATTTTCCAGTAAAGAAAACAATGGAGATTTTAAAATACATAGCATATGCATATACATTATCAGGATTGGCGCGAAAGAGCTGTGTGGATTTTTCAACGAAATCGTCCCAAGAAATGATGTAAACCATTGCTGTAAACTCCAATCCGATACCCACTGCTTTCCCCCGCTGCGTAATTACAAGAAACAGAGAATCCTCGGACGCCGGCGACTATCTTTCGCGGTCCCGATCGACAAGTATTCGATTTTTTTGGCTTTCCTTTGTCTAGGGTTTTATTACGATTTTAAACATGTCTGACAATTGTGGTTGGTCCAGTGGTTCCCCTTGCATGCTGACTAGACATGGTTAACGTCAGTGTCATTAATCTTTATTTTTTTTTGAAAGGTGTCATTAATTTTATTTTTTTTTTAACGAAAAACGTCCTCAATCATATAATAGCCCGTAAACTCTTGTAAGGACATCTTCGATAGTGGGGTTCTTATTATAATTGTTGAAGACTTTTGTAAGTATAATTAAGAAAAAGACAAAAAATATAACAAATGCTGAACGATCAGCAACGCGCCCAGACGCGTGCACTAGGCACAATTGTAGGCTTCACGCGAGAAGCACGAGAACGAGACTAGCTTTAAAGTGTTATGAGTGTTGTGGATCCCACTATTCTGAAAAATCTCCAAATTAACAAGAAAGAACTGAGTTATTCTCTCTCTTCATTATCTCTCTACCTCCAAATTAACAAGAAAGAACTTAGTTATTCTCTCTCTTCCAAGTTAGCGTCTTTTTATTAAAAACGGTGAATAACCCCTTTAGAGCATCCTTATGAGTTGGGGATATTATGGGGAGAATGTAAGAGTAGGAAAGAGAATAATGTGGGAGGGGAGGGAAAAAAATCAAAACTAATTTTATAAAAACACTAAAAATAATAAGCATGTCATTTCTCTATTGGTTCTCTCTCTTCCATCATTAATTCTTTTTTTGGGGCAGAGTAATATCTCAACCTTTGCAGATGCTCCCACCCCATCTCTCTCTTGATTCTCTCTTTGTCACCATGGCATTTTGACCTCAAAAGTAGTGAATTCTCCCCCATTTCTTCTATGATGTAGATGCTTTTAATGGGGATGCTCTAAGATTTTATGTCATGAATTTGACTAGTGACCGATGTATAATTTGCCATTACTTTGATCGTTACTTAATTCTCTTAATTTGGGCTAAGAGTCATTGCGTTCTTTCATGTTTCAACTTTCAACCATGTTCTAACTTAGAAGTGAACTTTATTTGCTCCTTTCAATCTCCTATATTTATGGACAAAGTGCAATCTATTCTGGTTTTTTTATTTAAAAAAAAAAAAGTACCTAAAAAAGAGAGATTCAAGGAGTAGCAGAAAAACTTTCAAATTAATAGAAGCAAGAAACTAGCTTTAAAGTATTGTGAGTGTTGTGGGTCCCACTATTCTGAAAAACTTTCAAATTAATAGAAGGAACTGAGTTATTCTCTCTCTTTCAAGTTGACATCTTTTTATTAAAAATCGTGAACAACTCCTTAATGGGGATGCTCTAGGATTTTATATTTTTATGTCACGAATATGTCACGAATTTGACTAGTGACCGAGGTATAATTTGCCATTACTTCGATGGTTGCGTTTACTTTTAACTCGCTAATTTGCTAAGTAAATAACGCTTAATTCTCTTAATTTGGGCTGAGAATCATTGCATTCTTACATGTTTCGACCATGTTAGAAGTGAACTTTATTTGCTCCTTTCAATCTCCTATATTTATGGACAAAGTGCAGTATTCTGATTATTAAAAAAAAAAAAAAAAGTATGTAAAAAAGACAGATTCAAGAAGTAGCAGAAAAAATGTTTATTGATAACCCTCGTACATCATAGGCAATAACACTCAAAATTCAGGGAAAAATAAATAAATAAACCAGAATCTCTGTTTATTACTCTAGCATCTGAAAAATCATAATACAACACAGTATAAAAACAAACGCGGGGACTGACTTGTATAACCAATCTGAATTACATGAGAACTTCAGATATCAGAGTTCCCTGCCATGTGGCTGGTTGATGGTAACCAATCTGTCCCGACGCCTATTGTAGGGCAATGAGAAACACTCTATAGGGTACCTTGTTTTGAACTTGAAGAAAAGACGAGGCTAAGCAGCTGGAGCCTTACGACCATAATACAACACCATCACGAAATCCTTGGCGGATGAACCAATTGCAACTGGTACCCTTTCTGAGGAGGTCATTTGAAGCCAAGAATCGACCAAGTTATTCAGCTGCAATGTAGGTGCTATCGGCTGCCCCATACATCTGATTTCAACCTGTACAACAATCAAATAAAAGCATAGAACTTAAAACGGTAATCCTTGTACCTGTTTATCTGAATAAAGACAGGTGATCTTCTTGAGAATTGTTGCTATAACAAGTGTAGCCATTACCTCATCTTCACTTGTAAGATCCAATTTCCTCATCAGGTACTTTTGAATGAATGAAACTGGAATGTTCCCATCCCTGCCACCAAACAAGTTACGTTATGTTCCATTTCGAGGATTCCCCAAATTCCACCTCCACAAACTCCCCTCCCTTCCCACCCACACCACCCAGAATAAAAATAGCAACAACAAAAAATTTAAAAGGTCAGCTCCCGTCTGGCTGTCACCACCAGTTTTGCAATTTCCATATATTTCTTAATTCCTATTAAAATTACTTAATTTCAGACACAGTCCAAGGACCATCTTCTCTGTATTGTAGTATCTCTATTTCAGAGTGTGCAATCTAGAAGATGCTGCACCAGAAATATCACTCCATACTCTTACTGACTTAAAACTTGAACCTAGTTAATCAAGCCCCAAATGTACTATCTGCCTTAAAGTCATCCAATACTTAGTTTAAGCAGCCATATAAGACTTCGCAAAAGGATAGGGTAGGCATGATCACGTTGAGGGGCTAAGCTAGCTTTTTTCTTCTTTAATTACCCAAATACAAAAATAAAAAATAAAAAATGCAAACATCAGTCATCAATGCCTTAACTGAGTATGTCTTCCCTCAGGATTTAGACAAATCAGAGTGTAATCGATGAGAAACGAGGAATATTAAGTTTTTCCTAATTCTCATTATCAGACAACAAATATGTGAAATCTCACTCATATGAGGGAATACAGGTTTCTTGAACAATTCAAACTTAAAAGAATAATATTATTCAAAAAAGGAATTGTAAAGCCAGAACTCAAAAACAAACAAATAATCCAGATCAGAATAGCATAGAATGACTTATAAGAGCATGAAAATAGTTATTACAATTAAGTGCACAAACATTTACTTTATGAGATGCTTAAACTTTGAGAAGTCCAAATTATGCCTACTGCCTTTTTCATAAGACAATTATTTAAGTCAAATTTAGAACAAAAGCCACTCCGTATAGGTGAGTGGCAATTTTGTGAAAGCAATGCCAAAAATTTGCACATGCAAAGATCTCTTCTTTAGTGTTTTGGAAAATCTTTTGCCCTTTAGAATGTGTTACTAAAAAAAAAATCAGTGTTGCAAAAATTGGCACCGCCCGGCCGCGGACGATTAGGCCGGAATCGGCCTCCTCCGCGGCCGGGCGGCTAGGCGGAACTAGCCGAACAATTTTCAATTTTTTTTTTGTGTTAAAAAGTGGTAGAAACTTTGGCAAGGCATAACTTTTGACTCGGTTGTCCGTTTTGAACAAATTTTTTTTTCAAATCGCGTATTTTTTTGAGATCTATACACCGCAAACAGCCAAAGTCAGTTTGGCCCTCTAATTTCTCCAAAAAAAAAAATGCTTCTTTTGCTCTTAATTTTAATTTTTTATGTATTTGGATGGTTTCAACAATATTCAAAATGATTTTACAACCACTTACGTAAATAATTTGTAAGAAAAAACTAGAGGAACCTTATGTTTTACCAATGTTGAAAAAAATCGCTAGGCGCCTGGGGACCGCCTAGGAGGCTGACCGTCTACGCCTAGGCGCGATTTTTGCAACACTGTGTTTTACTATTAAATTTTAAAATTTTTAGTTTAAATTTTTTTTTTAAATAAAATTAAAAAATCGGCGCCTAGGCGCCCCCTCGGCACCTAGGGGGCGC